ATATGGAACATCATTATAATTTAACGAAAGCGTGTTGAAAATTTAATACTTTATGATTATTTTAATTAAAAATGTGAAACTACAAAACATGTGCCGTTTAGGTAAGAATGAAAGCTTATTTTATCTATATTTTGTCAGTAAAACACTGTGGAAGAAATATGATTTTGGGTTGTTAGTTGGCTGGTGTTGTAATGTATAATATATGTACAAATAGACATATACGTGCAGAATATAGTATAGTTATGTATTATATATGTTGTAAAATCTTTTTTTTTTTTTTATAGCACTATGGTCCATTGAGATCATTCTTGCAGGCTATCTGAACAACACTCCCACTCTCTCTCTCTCCCTCATCCGTAGAGCCCATTCAGCTTGCTTTTCGGTATATTGTAGGTTTCCATTCTCTAAAGCTCAACCATCTTTATCTTCCTTGGTTGGCAGTGGATAGTGTGTCAGAAGCTCTAACGAAACTTAACTCCTGGTTACTTTTGGTTCTTCGCCTGTCTCAGAGTTCACCTAAACACTTATCCTTTGCAGTTAACAATATCGTTTCTTCCGGTAATAACGGTTCCTAGACGCTTTAATTAGTTAAAATTAAAAAAATAAGTGTTATCATACAATTAATTACCTAGTTACATTAAGATACTGGAAAAGACTAATTGCTACTCAATGAACTTTTTTTGTAACTCATTGGCATAAATATAATAACTTTTTTAGGCTATTGCAAATATTAACACTTTCAAAGCACATTCCTTTGCAGAATCAATGCAAAGTTTAACTGTTCCTTATATAATTCTTATTAATATCAGAGATAGACTTCATCGTTATTTTCATAACACATATTATAAATTTTAATTTATTACAAAGATATAACAAAACTGATTTAGTGGACTCGTTAGGTAGTGGCCTTGGTTTGAAATGGCTGTAACTAAGTTGGGAAAATTAAGTTTCCACTCATAACAAAGTTATCTATGACCAAAATTAATTTTAGTGCCATCACTTAAAAATAAAGAAACTAGCTGTGTGACATAGTTTTAACTACGGACAAATTTTAAAAGTAATTGGTTTGAGAAGGTTCTAACTACTATACCATGTAACTGTACTTGATTTATAGTTACTTTAATGAGAGTTAAATAGGAAGAGTTAACCTCATATAAATAAGAAATAGAATAATAGCGTGATCCTGATTGGTCAATTCACAAATTAAAAAAAAAATAATTTTAATAAACACTGATTAATAAATACTTCTAATTAAACAAAAATAGTTTATCATATGTAAAGAAATTTTGTCAGTATTTAAATATTTATAATTAATTCTATTCGGACCAGGTCTTAAAATAAACCCAAATAACTTACTCGGTAAGTACTTTAATATCAGAACTATAGAATGGCTATCCAGTAATTTATAAGGCAACATTTGGAAAATTAAAAACAAATTCTCAAATGTTTAAAGCCGAAAATTTGACTTTTCTTAAATAAGATCCATAAATCTTTTATCATCATTAAGTTTAAATTAAAGAAAATTACACTATAATTTCGTCAGAACAATGGACTAACTGGAAGTTAATTATCACAAATATTTAAAGGCAAAAAAGGGCGTCTAATCCCGTTGGAGGAGATGTATATAATACAAAGAGCTGACTGATAAATTACCTAAAATAGATGTAATTAATTTTCTTTTCCTCTCGCCTCCTTTCTTAATTATCCGAAGTGGATGTAATTCAAGAAGAAGACATTGCAAAATATTACTTTCATTTCCCTTTTCTGTAAAGCCATTTTCTTTCCATCCCTGTATTAACGAATCCACTGAAAGTGAAATTACTTCTAGTGATATTTATTTATTAAATTTATAATAACAATAGAATTATAATTAAAAATAAAACGAAAAAGGAAATATGTATAAGTAATACGAAATTATTTCAAACAATTTTGAATGTTCTTCTCACCTTTGAAAAACTGCTTACATAGTTAAAAACTGATGCGTGCATCAAAAAACTCTTACAGCTGTGCCTCGATCAGAAATTATTTTCTGGAAATATTGAGCTATTACCAAAAGTTTTTGAAGAGCACTTTTAATGGAGCTAAACCTTAAAGAGTACATTTATGAATTTAAATATATCAGAATCAAAATATCAAAAATAGTTTTTAATCAATGAAGATGCTTTGCGAAAATCTGATAAAAAATATGTCACATTCGTTTGTGTACGCTATATATTTTTCACCTTCTAAAATTTTATTATAATATATAAAATTTTTATTATATATTTATTGAATATTAATACAATCTGCCACACTCAAGGGCAATAAGCATTATAGCTAAAAGTAGCCACTTGTACAATATATACATACAACAAAAATAATTGAAGGTAATTACAGAAAAAAAAGATAGTGGATATAAGGGTCCATTAGTATGTTTGGAGACACAGTTTTTACTACTACAATTATATAATTGCCCAGTCATGTATCAATTTATTTTCATATTTTGATTTCTTTTTTATATGGATTTTTTAATATGTTATCTGAGGGTTAATTTTTAAAAATATTGTCAATTATAAAATTATTGATTTGTCGGTTATTTATCGATTTATTTTTGTTTTTTTGGATTTGTTCGATATAAGTGTCTGTTAATTATGTTAGGTCAGACATGATTTTTTAAAAATATTTTATATGAGGATTAATTTTTGAATTCTCGATCTAATAACGATTTATTTTATTTTCGGTTTTGTTACGGCTTAAGTTTTTTTTTCTTAATATAACAATATATTTTAACATTGCGTGTTCACGATAGTAAAATGATGAGATGCTATTGTTCCAATATTGCAATTCAAAATAAAATAAATCGATCGATTACGCAACATTAAAATCGATAGTATTATCAACAACTAGACTTCGGATATCATAATACAGGACCATTGTATTGAGAGAACCGGAAAACAAAAAAAATCGCGAAATGATTGCACAACTTTAAATTCGAAAGTATTTCTAAAAACTACGCCTCCGATAGAATAATAATTACTTCTTAAATCAAAAACAAAAAATAAATCGATAGTCAATCTGTCAGCGATTCGTCAATTTTAAAATCGCTAGTATTTTCAAAAACTATGTCTCCGATAACATAATAGACCTTTGTGTCAAAGGAGTTTAAATTATTGATAAATAATGTAATCGTATAATCTATTGTAGGATAGTGGCACTAGTAAATGAACATTTCTCAAAAAATGGTTTGAATTATTTCTTCTATACAATCAGGCGATACATAGAATTATTTATGGTTACATCAGAATCCAACAGAGGACAGCCCAAGTTCTTCAAGGTCTAAGTTTCATATTGAGAAAGATGTAGCAGTTCAAAGAAAACGGTTCACAAAATAAGCCCAACAGCAAGCCCAAAAAAGGCGTTAGGGTCTTACAATTGTGTGACATGATTTATAGGAACTTTTAATGTTAATATTCAACAATAAACAAACTCACTAAGAGACAGAAATTCAATGTTAGGTTATAATCTGAGGAATTCCAACCATACAGCCTGATGTGTCCAAAATGTATTTAAAAAATAAGAAACTCGTCAATTTTCTGACAATTAGGCATCATCAGAAAATAAAATAAAAGGAAGATCACATAGCTCCATGACATCCAATCGCTTTTCTTTTCTGTCCTGGTGGTGCATGAGTTGTCGGAAAGTTTACGGTTTTTTATTGTTTATCATCATTTTAGAGACATATGACTGTGTGTTTAGAATTTTTCTAGTTGTAATTAATGATATCTTTGTGTGTTTTTACTTATATATTGTTTTTCGAGGGTTTGTTCTTGTCAGAAAGTGATTGAGATAGTTGTTTATCATTATTAAAAAATGATACTCTTCTTATTTGCAAGGTTCAATTCTGCTTTCGGATAACGGCAATTCCTTCGGCTACAAGTATTGCACATACATTTTACTGGCTCAGCTCTTCATGATTTTATGAAAGATTTTTTTTATAATAATTTACTTTATTTATTAGTTTTTAAGTTTTTGGAAACTGTAGGTATATCCTCACGACTTGCAACGCTTTGGAAGCAATAAGGGTCAACCTACTGAGGGAAACCGGACTCTACTTCATCACGGAAGATTATTTCCCTCAACTAGTTAGTAAAGATAACTACCCGTACTATGAAGCATTCGTGTACGTGTAGTCGTGATTGGTGAGGGTTGATCATTTCAACTTCCACTAATGAAGACCAAAGAACCAGAGGGTAAGTGGTAAAAGTGTCGCGCGACTTCCGCAAAATCCGCGACAAATCCGCAAAAAAAAAATATATTAAAATAATTGTAAATATCCTTAAGAACTTAAAAATGGTAATATTCGGAGTTCGTGCCCGAGTGACTATTGCTATCGAAAAAAAAAGAAAAGAAAATTATAAGAGACTTCATATAACAAAGTTTTCTCTAAATTTCATAATGTAAAATTAGGCTATAACTGTATAAATTACATTCTTATTTTTTTTTCTCATTGGTTCAAGTTCTAGAATTTTTCTTGCGGTGAAATCAGCGGCCGCAATAAAGGCTTCGTCGTCTCTTCTAGGTCTTATAACATCTTAACTTTAAAACTAATGAAAGTCTAAAAAATCGTTATCCAAGGAGAATTAGTATAGCTTCCTCATCACTGTTAGTGGATGTTAAATTTGTTCAATTAAATTATATTTCAACGTTAATGATTTATTACTTCGGAACTAAAAAAAAATAAACAAAAGTTTTTATAATATAATCCATCTATTGAACACACGCCTAAGCGAAAGAAGTAATAAATATGAGGAGTAATAAAGGAGTTGGAAAAAAATGTCAGCCATCAAGAGAGTTAATTATATTTGAGAGTGCCCAGATTCTGCAGTGTACGGTAAGAAAGAAAGATATAGTTTTTTTTTTCCAAAATTCATGAAAGCCACTTAATTCTTGCTTTGATGAGAAAATTATGTAGTAAATTTTATAAATTTTGTATCAAAACAGCCGATTAACATTAATGGCAAATAACAGTAAACTCAATTTAAAACTTTCCAATTAAAAAGCTAAAATTTTGTTGGAATGCAATGGATCGTTATCATTCAGTATCATACCATGTTCCGTATCCTTTTCCGTTTCCTGATCGTAGAAGAGCCATCCCGATCTAGGATCGATGGTGTCTTCTATTCCTTGATTCCTACCCCGAGGAGGGGAGGGGAGTTCTACGGCCAGTCCACTTCGGGCGCTGGTCGGCGGTACTTCGGGAGGGCCTCAGCTTCGTCATCTTTATTGAGTACGTAATATAAATATATTTTATATATAATCAAGAAAAATGTTATAATAAGTCATAAATGATCTCTTACGAGCTATTTATATGAAATTGAAATTTATTTAACAGTCTATATTATGATAGGAAAATAAAGACATCAAAGATAATTTAAAATTAAAACGGTTGAAACATATTTATGTGCATGATTTAACAATGTACAAGTGAAATGTTCTATAAAATGGAAAATTGCTCCCACAGCTGTCACATTAGAAAATAAATGGGAAGAAATATGAATGTGTGTTATTATAAATATTCCTATTATTATATAAAATTATGATTTTGTAAAACTTCTGATAAAAAAAATATATATATATTTTTTTACTGAATAGGACAGAATGTATTTTGAATAAAATTGTAACAAGTCTACAGCATAATACAAGAATTATGATACCTCAAAAAACTAAACACAAAAGAATAAAACTTTGCATTTTTTTTTACTTATAAATTATTCCATATTTTAAACATGCTAAAAATGTATTATTTAGCTTAACAATAATTTAGAAACTTACGTTATGAGCCACTTATACATTTCTTATTCTACAAACTGATGTGAAACTATATGTATCCAAAAAATTTTATTCATTCATGAAATTCATAAATTTATTAAAGTAAAAATCCACCTAGTAAATTTGAACAGAGATATATTATTGACATGGAAAGACTTGTAAGGAAATTACCGATTGGTATGATGAATATCTAAAACTAACACTTGAAACTTGAAAAATAAATTCCTATACACTGGCTCTCTGAAATTATTTCTTCTGATAATTATTCTATCTAAATACGCTTAATGCAATGGAATCATGGTTTTAGAATAATAAATCGAAATTTCATTTAATATATTTGTTTTCCAGTAAACGAGTTTGAAAATGCAATTTGGCGAAATATCTTTTCGTATCCCATATTTCAAGCGACTATTTATTCTACTCAACAACTGTTTCACTTTTAACATTCTCAAAAAAAAAATAAATAAATAAACACAATAAAAAATGTAGGATATAATTCAGTTCCTTAAGTCAATTTATTCAGAACAATAAACTATTCCAAAAACAATCGTAAGAAATGTAGAAATATAATGCACAATTTATTATGATACTAAATTGGTTGATTTAATATCGAATTTGAGCGAAATTAGATTTTTTATAAATATTTAAATAAACTGTATAATTTTCGGTTCAGTCCTCACCATGATATTATAAAAGCCTAACCTTTTTCCCCTTTTTTGCGCGAGTCTTAACCATAACTCCCTTCTCTCAACTCTCAGCACCTATCATTTGTCAGGTCCAGATATAAAGAAGAAAAACCTTTAAGTGGGTATGAAATATGATACTATTTATCCAATGCCAAGTTTAAAAAAAGAAACATACTTGAAAAAAGTAAAAAAAAATTGAAAAATAATTTCAAAAATCGTCATGAAACATCTGTTTATGATAGTGTCAGTATAACTGAACTGAACTTGTTAATGATTTTTAGTAAAACAAGACAACAAAAAAAGGATGAGAAAAAAATTCGCAATCATCGTTATTGCACTTCCCTTCATAAAGATTATATGATGTTTAATGCTGATATAATAAAATAAAATAGTTTTGCCACTATTTAACTTATTTATGACCGCCACCCCGGACCATCCTTCCTTTATAATGCAACAGTCAACTATTCAATATTCAATATAACAAAAAAAAAAAGTTTTGATTAATGATCGAAGATGACAAAAGTTAAGAAGCCGTCACGGAACATTATTTTCGAATTAACCGGATAGATTCACTCCTACATTCCAAATACCTTTTGAAAACCATACGAACCCTTAGGACAAAAAAAAAAAAAAAAAAATAAAATAAAATAAACTATATTTAAGTCTAGGATAATAAAAATATCAAAATAGCATGAATAATATATTTACTACCACATACTTGAGCTATAGCAGATAATGCTTTGTACCCCTTTTTGGGCCCAACGTTCCTTTGTTAAGATGGAGATTAATCTAGATATTCCGTTATTGTAATTTTATATAATAACGTTTAAATAAATAATATTTATAAAAACAAATAAAAGTCATTTAAAAATTCTAAAAAAGAAAATTAAATCAGTAAAGTTTATACTTTACTGTTAAAAAGTACAAACTTAAGAAAAGTATATTATTTCTCTGTACCAAGGTTTAAAATATATGACGAACAAAATAACTAACTATATGTTGAATTTGATTTTTTATTCATGAATCAAAAACGCGACTTGATATATCGTCTACAAACATGCAATACTTTCGGAACCTCATTTCTTAAAACTTAATTTAAATTTTCGAAAATCTATAAATTATAAAAAAAAATAAATCTTTTCGCAAATATTACTGATTATGAAGTAATTTCAATGCCAAAACATTCGGAAATAACGTGTTACACTTAAATTATTTAAAAAGAAGATTTGTTGTTTGCGGTGCCAATTTATATATTGTTTTATTAATATTATTCCATGGATCACGTGGTTCAATAACTAAATATACAGATGTATTTTGCGACGTTATTGGACATCATTGGTCTTATATTGGTGTCCTACACATATTTATATTAGTTTTCTTTTTGAAAAATAATCACTCTAAAATGAGTATTACCTTCAAGTGCGAAAAATTTGTTCAACCCACCGAAAAAGTAAGAAACTATTTGTGGTGAAAAGAAAATTTATTTTCACTTTATTTAGTGTATATAGGTATGTATGTGTTTTTTTTTTGTTTTTATATATTTATTTTTAAAATAAAGTTATTTTATTCCTAATAATAGTATATATATTTTTGTTCTGCTTAATTTATTTTTATTTATTGTACATAGAATGTGAATGTGGTCTCTGAACACTATTCTAAATTTTCTTTGAGACAGATTGTAATATTTCTCAATAAAAATGTTTAAAAAAAAATTCACATAACTCAAAATGTATACAATGAATGTTTGATTATACACGTGACAATTCGAAGGGTACTTAAATTTCTCGCATAAGGAAAAGAAAAAAAAATCATCAAAATCGGATAATAACTTGCAAAGATGAAGTCAATTGGTACATATATTTTGGTTTATTATTTTGAACGAACCATTGTAATCGACCGATGAACAGAAAATTTAATCTTCCATCTCGTAATACAATACATTAATATATGCAGATAATAATATACAACAATAATATGCAATATATATAAATTGATTTAAATTTTCTGGAATGTTATTATTTTTTTTCTGTGGATCTTGAGACTTCGTCAATAAGCAAATATATTTTTGTAACGTTACGAAGCTTTGATATTCTAGTACTATGTCCCCTTTACAGTGACTATAAAAATGGCTATACACTATTTTTTTAGAAAACGTAATTACCACACACTAAAATTACTAACAAGCAATACTAAATCAAGCTAACAGCAAATTAGAGCCGAGATCATTCAATTGTTGAAAATATGTGTTCGTTATATTCAACTTTTAAACAAACGGAAGACTAAACTGATCAATATTTAGTATAATACCAAGTGAGACTAGCTAGAGCTAACATAGTAGTGGGAGCTAAATAAATTAATCAATTAATAATAATAATAATAATAATAATAATAAATTAAGATAATTTATATTAAAGACAAAACCGATAAAATGTTATAAAGATAAACAAAAAATATAAAAATTTCAATACTAAATAAAAAAATGAATATTCGTGCACAGTCCTTCCGTGTCAGATTGAACTCTACAGTTATACGAACAAGTAAGCATTATTGGAATGACTAAAAGCTGTTTATACATATTTGCTCTCAAATTTTAAAATTATTTTAAAAAACGATTTACCTTTCAATTAACCTGTACATTTCGCCTTGAATTTGTAATATACCCGAGAGAGAGAGAGAGATAAGAAAAAAATAAAATAAAAAATAACGAAAGAGACAGAGCTCTGTTTTTTTTTTTTTTTTTTTTTTTGAGGTACAGATACAAGTGAATTAAATGTTTAATTAATCCTAGTGCTATCTGCGGAAATCGAAATTAGATTTTCAAATTACAATTGAACTACTGAATTTCTTTCTTCGTTTATTATATTTTGTTTACAAAATTTAACTAAATCAAGGGGATAGACAAATAAAAAAATTTAATATCTAATAGGCTCTTTTCTAATAGCGATTAAATTTACATACTAATTTCTAATCTTCTATTGTATATGATTAAACAAAAAGTGGACAATTCAGCATTCTCTAATGGACAATTTGAGACTGTTTTTATTGTATATTTTATATTATTATGGATTTATTAATATAAATTATTGAAGTTTGTTAGTAGTTTGATAATATGAGTCTATTTGTACAGTTATTCGTACAAGTACTATAATTGTTATGTTACCTCATAAGAACTGATATACATACCTTAATGGTTTATTTCTATCATTAATTTCGTTTTGTTTTTGTCTATATTTAATTTTCCCTTTTTTCCTGTTCTTCCCTACCTTGCCTTTTAGACTATACGGGATTTTTTCTGTTGAGGGGAGGAATTTAAAAATCCCTCCGGCATCAGGACGCGAACTTTTTTTTAATCTCATAACTTTGGTTATCGGGTTGCTAGAGAACTCTCATTTGCCTTTAATGTTAGTTATATTTAATTTAATTTAATTTAATAATTTAACTATAATTAATTGATTCAGTTATTGAAAACCAAATAACTTCCAATACTCTGTTACCTCTAATCAATTTAGTCCACCTTTTGTTAAATAGTTGAAAGTAACTAACACCAATTTTTAATAATTGTGTGATTTTGGCTCTAATTTCCTTTTGAATTAATTAGTTTTGTTTATAAAAGATGATCTTGGGAAAGGGACTATAATAATGACCAGTGAAAAAGGCCTGTTCAGACTTGATAAATAATTACTTTATTTCAAATTATCCAAATGTTCGCCCCTTCAGGCCTCTTCAGAGATAATCTGATTTTACATATAATTTAAATTTTCATGTGAATAAA